CCTATCAAAGCACTAAACACCCTAGAAGAAAACCTAGGCAATACATTCAGGACATAGCATGGGCAAGGACTTCATGTCAAAAACACAAAAGCAATGGCAACAAAAGCCAAAATTGACAAATGGGATCTAATTAAACTAAAGAGTTCTGCACAGCAAAGAAACTACCATCAGAGTGACAGGCCAACCTACAGAATGGGAGAAAATTTTTGAATTACTCATCTGACAAAGGGGTAATATCCAGAACCTATAAGAACTCAATCAAATTTACAAAAAAAATCAAACAAACCCATCAAAAAGTGGCGAAGGATATGAACAGACACTTCTCAAAAGAAGACATTCATGACAGCTGACAGACACATGAAAAAATGTCCTCATCATCACTGGCCATCAGAAGAAATGAAACCAAAACCCACAATGGAAATACCATCTCCACACCAGTTAGAATGGCAATCATTAAAAAGTCAGGAAACCAACAGGTGCTGAGAGAGGATGTGGAGAAACAGGAACACTTTTACACTGGTTGGTGGCGACTGTAAACTGAGTTCAACCAATGTGGAAACACAGTGTGGCAATTCCTCAAAGGATCTAGAACTAGAAATACCATTTGACCAGCCATCCCATTACTGGGTATACACCCAAAGGATTATAATCATGCCTGCTATAAAGACACATGCACATGTATTTTATTGCCGGCACTATTCAAATAGCAAAGACTTGGAATCAACCCAGTCTGTCCATCAGTGACAGACGGATTAAAGAAAATGTGGCACATATACCCATGGAATTCTATGCAGCCATAAAAAGGATGAGGTTCGTGTCCTTTGTAGGGGAAACTGGATTGCAGCTGGAAACCATCACTTCTCAGCACACACACCTATCATGGAACAGAAACCACAATACACCATGTTTCTCAATCATAGGTGGGGACAATTGAACCAAATGGAATCCTTGACACAGGGAAGGCGCGAACATAACACACACGGCGAGGTCCCTATTGCTGGGGGAGGCGGGCTAGGAGGAGAGGATAGCAATTAGGAGATATTACCTAAATATAAATGACGAGTTAATGCAGTGCAGACACACCAACAACTGCGCACGGTGTATATCATATGTAGCAAACCTACCACGTTTTTGCAAAATGTTACCCCAGAACTTAAACATCATATCATAAAAAACAAGAGAAATATGCCCAAAACACAGTAAGTGACAAAGGAACTATATATTGTGATCTACTTTTTTACAAATGTGTATATACATAACATATAAAAAACAACAAACCAGAATTTTTGAGTGGCAAAATAAAGCTTTTCTTGTCGTGAAAAACAAGAAAAAAAAAAAAAAAGGAGCAAAAATATTGCAATCAGCAATGAAATGTTCAAAACCAAATGGACAATTTTGAAGGAGGAAAAATAGTGGAAATGATGTGGTAGTGCGTGATTTTGTTTTTCTGCTTTGCTGATTTCCCTTTTGTTGCCTGTCTCAAACAGCATACTTAGCTTTATTTAACAGTTTGTTGACGTGACTTTTAAAGGGTCAAAAGAGCAAAACGAATTTTGCAAAGTCAAATGATGCTGGAATGTTGGTGCCTCATTTATCCTTGCTTCAGAATGACTTTGGTCTAACTGTCCTGAGAACACTTTTGAGTCATATGTTAATCTGTTTTGCATTGCTGTA